TGTGTGCCAGGAGCAGCGAGCGGAGGACCGCGAGGGTGGCCTCGTCAGGGTGATGGAATTTGCAGTCCAGTCGCACGGTGTGCAGCCTGGGCAGGGACAGTGACTGCGGACAGAATGCAGAGGGGACACTGTTAACTCAACAGTGTGCATGGCACACTGTTCCTACAGTGGCATGGCATGGTTCCTGCATGGCATGCACACTGTAGCAACAGTGTGCATAGGCATGCACACTGTGGCAACAGTGTGCATAGGCATGCACACTGTACAAACTGTGTTCCTTTCAGGCGCATAACTTTGGAAATTAGATGACATTTTCAGTTTCTTCGGCAAAAGAGCTTTCAAACGAGCTACCATGTGATAGGGTTCAAATCGACCACTACCGTAACTTTGTTAACGTTACCGAAACATTCGGAACAGTGTGGTCGATTTGAACCCTATCACATGCTAGCATGTTTATGCACACTGTTGCCACAGTGTGCATGCCTATGCACACTGTAGGAACAGTGTGCCATGCACACTGTAGGAACAGTGTGCCATGCACACTGTAGGAACAGTGTGCCATGCACACTGTAGGAACAGTGTGCCATGCACACTGTTGAGTTAACAGTGAAGGGGCGATATGCAAGACTACAGAGGGTGGAGAATGGGGGTGAGTAGAGGGCAGAGGGCCGTCTTTATATTCCCCTAAACACTTACCTGCGGCCAGGATTCCGAATGCTTCGGTCTAGCGTCGAGTTCGAGAATCTCTAGACTGTGAGCGTCACGCAGGCTGGCTAAGGGCACGTTGACAGCACTCGCGTGGATGGCAAGGTGCTTTAGTATCGGCCCGAGCTCAGCGACGAGGCCGGAGATGTCTATCCGGTTGACCAACAGCACGACGGTGCCAGACCTGGAGGGAGAGCACTTGGAGCATTCATCACTGAGTGAAACTATGAGGGGGGGCGTTGACGACGGCAATGGAAAACAGCAGAGGCGCTTCTTAATCAGCACCTATTAAGGGGTGCTATTGCATGCGAACCTCCATTTCTAAAATGCACTACAGGTTGGTGCTTTGCTTAATTCAGCACCTTTGAAAGTGCCATCTGTGGAGGCAATAAACCACGTGCACCTTTGGTTTTCCATAGGAGGGGTGACGGCGGTTACTCACCTGTAGCTACAGAACCCCGCCAGAGCGCTCACACTGTAGGTCAACTCGAGCTTTTTCACGGGCGCCACTCGGAACAGGTCCGACATGTGACCCCGTCTGACCTGCTTGTGACAGTCAGCTACGGTGCCCGAAGGCTCCACCCTGAATTTTTTCCCGTGCCAGATGGACTGGAGCGTCCTGGTGAGCGCGGCCACCCGCAGGCAGGCGCGCGCCACGGCGAAGAGGTCCGCGCCAGACAGGCAGGGCAAGATGCGCAGGAGCGGAACGTCGGGCAGCAGGCACAACAGGCAGGTCGGCGTCTGCGGGCAGCGTCAGGAAGGTCAGGGACAGAGTAGGCGAGTGTTGAGATGAGCAGTTTATCATACATGTAAAGGAGTTTTAGTCTCCCGCTATGCAATAGCAATATGTGTCTGAAGTGCGCGAGTGCGTGTGTCGGGTATTCCCTCAACATCTATCCATGTATCTTGAGCGTCTGTCCAGGGCTGTTCCGGCTGTTCCATAGGCTAGCGTCTCTCTTTGTCTGGAAGCTGCACTGTGTGGTTGTGTTGCCTACTGCCCCGGACAGTGGGCCAGATCGGCGCGCTTATGGGCCACTTGGAGTTTTTCCGTCCTTTTTTGGGCTTTCGAATGAGCTTGGCTAGGGGAGGCCCCACCCCAGACTCCTCCTGGCCGGCCCCCGGCCGCACACCGGCCGGCGCCAGCCTAGGCGAACGTCGCTAGTTGGATCACTAACCTTGCTTCAGCCCTGCGGCCTCGGGACCCTACGTGACCGGGCACCCGTCAGGCCGAGGGCTATCCGTTAAGACTGGAGCCTCCAGATCTGAATAATGCCCGTCACTCTTGTTGTGCTGGTGATCGCAGTACCAGAAGGAAGACCCCCCCCCCCCCCCTTCCCTCTCGCCGGCGCGCCGCGGGCCCCGCCAAGCCCCGCGGTGTTGTGTTGCACCGTGCCGCCCGA